CGTGGGTGTGCGATGTTAAAAAAGCTGTTTTTTTTTTTTTTTTATATATATAATTAAATACAATATTAAGTTTGATACGAGTCAACTTATTGGATGTACGTGCAATTATATATTTCTTTACTTTTCTTAAACATGTAAGTTAATACACACGGAAATTTAAATTAATTCAAAAATTTTTAATTCAAAAAATTCACATACGTATATAAAATGATTTGCATTTCATGTGTGTGAAATATCCAATTTATTCTCTTTCTTATGGAAATTAAAAAATCGAAAAAAACACCTCGACCTGGAGTCAAATCTGGATCTTACGCATTCCGTGCAGGAAAATGTTAAATTACTGTATTTTTTTTTTTTTTATATTACAGCATTGTAAATTGCAATATATTGTTGCTGTCTATGTGTGTTTCTTGTTTTAATTGAATTATTAGAACGATCGATCGCGATTTAATCTTAGACAGGCGAGGATAATCGGTAATGCGGGTGAAACGCAAGTCAGATACTAAAATCGTCATGCGCACGTTCGCGCCCAGTGTCTCTTGACGTCGTATTTCGACGCGATTTCATTCGGCTCGCGACCGAACCTTGGATTATATGATCCCCGACGATGGAAATGGCGTTTAGGTAGGTGGGTATCCGAGGTAGGTAGGCATTATGGTGGTCGTTGGGAGGCGTCGCCGAACCGAACGCTGAATCACCCAGCGAGAGTTTTCCTGTCAGCGGCAGGACGGGCACCGCCATCCGACGAAGCCCCGTGGAATTGCCTCGCACGGCCTCGAAATGAATGCGCGAACGCCCATTAGGGGAATAAATCAGGCCAATGTTATCCGCAGGATCGCATAATCGATCTCGCGCGCTCGACTAATCCGGGCCTAATCGTTTCACGGCGCTGCCGCGGCCAGAAAAGTTCCTCCCAAGAGGAGAGAGAGAGGATCGTTAGAAGGATAGATAGGAGGAACTCCTTCGCAGCCGCGATAAAGATATGCTTAATGCTTTGGCGCATCATCTCGTATTAGGCTTGTACGTCTTAGACAGAATCGCGATATTATGGCAATAAATCTTAAACTTTCGAATTTAGCAGATTCATATCTGAGAAAACATGAATAAGTTTTCGTGTCATGTATTTTAATGGGTATTTTTTTTTTTTTTTTTCTACTTTGAAATGTGTAAACCGCGAATTAAGCGTAACGAATCGTCGTTACGCTCGCGTCATCGGCAACGGTTACTTCAAAATATACATATCTCGCTTTAATCAGGGGAAATCGATTCTCCTTGCCGGACCTTTCCATCGCGACGCGGAAGGGCGCGTTGGGAGGGATGAATTGTAGGGTGCGCCGAGTCGCGAAAATGTTTGGTTAGCATTTGGCTTATTGGCCGGCGAATGTTCGTGCGCTGTTAGGCATGTATGGATGGCCCCCAGGTTATAATAAAGCTAATTCCGCGGAGCTCTCGAGGCAGCTCGTGCCGCAACATGTTTTGCCTCTCGTTCTACCATGCTCGCCTCTCTTCCCCGCTCTTCACCCTTCGCCGTTTCTCGCCGATATATATCCGCCCCCGTTGCACCCTCGCGGTCTCTCTCGCATCGCATCTCTCGCTCTTTCGCACCGCGAAGAGTATATTTCGAGCCGTCGGAGCAACCGAATATATTTATATGCCCCCTCGGAGGGCAGCGCACGTCCGCTTATTAAAACGTTTCCACCCTGAAGAGAACGCGCGTTTGCTATCCGCTTTGCGCCGCGCTATTCCTTTTATTGTTCAAAACGCGAATGTGCGAGAAGAAGAAAGAAGAAAGAGAAACGAGAGAAGCGGGAGATGAGGGGCGCGAGTAAGCACGTGCATGGCTGCTGAGTAGTTGAGTACCTGCCGCTGGCCACATTCGCGGAATTAGACGCGCGAATGTGCGCGGCTTAACTGCCGGGAGAGCGTGTTTTTGAGTCGGCGCTGATGCGCCACGAAGAGCGATAACAATGGGGGATACGACGAGGCGGGTAGCTGGCTCGTTACCGCGGGCTGCTGATGGCCCCTTTGTATCCATTTCTATGATACCCCGTGCCCGGCGCTCGCTCGTGCTAGGATCACGTTCTAAGTGATTATGCGGCTTGTACGCGCCGCGTCGTTAGCTTTTTATCCGATTACGAATGTGATATACGAGCGTTCATACATCCGCGTACATATATCCGCTATTAAGATAGAGAGTATTTCTGTCTCAGAAGCTATCTAGATTATTTTCCGATGATAAGTAGACGAATATATAATTCATTAGCGTATTCATCGAGAACACAAATTTATCTATAATTTCTTGTTTTGTTTTGGAAACATTTGGACTTGCGCGCCAGATAAGAGTAATTTATTCGCGATTTTTTCTTCTTACAAATCACACATTGAGCTCGCAACGACTCTTATGTCTGATAGAGATATTAGAAGACGTTCAACGAAGGTGAATTAAATCTTAATTCTCTGACAAGCGCGTTAGAGGAGGATCGCGATTGATCGGTTCAGGCGAACGACTTTAACAGGCCTGTTGCGTTAATTAATTCTCGCTGATCTCAATTAAAATATTAATTATCGTGGAACAATGACTTGCTGATGAGAGGAGAGACCGAGAGTCTCGTCTCTCTCTTCGTCTGGCGTTCATCGCTCATTCGCCGCTTCCACCTCCGTTCGTCGCTCGCGACGGAGCCGGAGAAATCGCCATTGCGATGCTATTACGATTACCCGGGTCTTATAAGCTTATCTGATAACCACGCCATTATGGCTCATGGCACGCTGTGACCACGCCGTCGCTGACTGGTCCGTTTGTCTGATCATTCGTGAAGACCTCGCGCCACAAGAGGATGAGAAAATTTGCATATCTCCGAGCTCGGAGATACGAGCGAACAAGTGTCCCCTGCCTCCTCTCCTCCGACGAATCTCATCGAAAATCGGTCCGGTCGTATCTCTTAATCGCTTAAAAAATCAATCAGCAGCGCCCCAAACAACGAAATCTCTCGCTACGCACGTGATTCTCAAATATCGAGATTGAAGATTTTTCAATACCGCTTTCTATCTTCTTCTCGAAATCTCTGTGACTCTCGGTAAAATGTCGACGAATTCTCTCTTCTCTCTTTCTCTCTGGACCTCGTTGCTTGCATAATTTCGCGACAATTAGCATATTAATCACGAAGTATCCGAGGAAGAATTTTCGAGGCTCGAATTTCGGCTTCGCGTTTCTACATACTTCATTATTAATCAAGGATCTTTATGCATTCTTTTAGCAGCTGCTCTTACGCAAGAGAAGCGCGCATTTTTCACTTAGATACACGCTGATTATTAATGAGTGTATATATAAGACACTTGCGAAAATGTGAAAGGATTACATCAAAATGTTATTCACCTGCGTTTGTTTGCCATCGCCATTGTCGGGAATTAACGTTCTTTTTAGAAGAAGCAAATACAATTGTTGCGTCGCCGATGAAGCATGGTCTCTGTGATGCATGCGCATATAACAAAGTCCGTGCTATCAGCGTGCATCTGTGCATTCGCACGCGTACAGACGTGTTTGCGAGAGAGCACACGTAGCGCACGAAAGCTGGGAACGCACCTTCGATGCACCACCTGACGCGACGGGGGGTCAGTGACTATCATTTCAAGCACGATTTTGAGAAGACAGAATTTCCGGAAGAGAGTCTCTCCGAGAGATAGAGAGAGAGAAAGTAACAACTCCGGGTTTTCCATCGACACAATCGTCGATTCTTTTTTTTTGTTTTTTTTTTTTAACAAGAGGGAGGGAGAATTGGATTAATGTTGGAATGCCAGGCATACTCGTCTCGCCTCTATCGACGCGCGGCCTTCGAATCGTGATTTCACTTAAGGACACGCGCGATGTTGTCGATGGATAAAGATATATCGTGGTCGGCTAATGATGACTCGGCCAAAGTGCAAACGCGCATCTCCCGCGCGGTCGGCCCGTGCAAGTAATTTATGAAGAGTCACGATCGATTCGGGGTCGAGTGTCGATATGAGCACCTCGAACAACCGACGTGGCCGTGACGAGTGAAAATACAAACAGTTTAACAGGGATGAGTAGTCGTTTAACGTTCCTGGGATCAGAAGAGAGAACCCTCTCCTCCTCCCACTTCTTACCGCCACCTCCTTCGTCGCGTCATTCTGCTGTATCCACCACGTGCACATACTCGTAAGTATAACGTGGAACGTTGCAGCAGCGGGATCGGCGCCGCGCGTGTATATACGCGCGCGTAAACGACGAGAGCTTCTCGTTAGAGCGTTATTCATGATTCAAGGGATATTATTGAGAATTTATCGCGCTGTACGAAGTATGAATCTGAGAACGCGCAGAAATAAAACTAAAAAAAAAAAAAAAAAAATTACGTAATTATTTGGAGTGTGGATTCTTCGTCTAAAAGCGGAATTTTGCAAACGGATACGCGTGATAAGAATTTTATCGGGAGCATCTTAAGTGCGCCTTTATGCTCCATCGCTTCGATAATCGCAATCAAAGATCGTTCGATTCGTCGAACGTACGAGGGACGCCAGTTTCCGAAATGGGACGTCTGTTCTGTGGACGACGGACGACAGCGGGAGTTGCGTAAGTGCGTGCGGCCCGACCAGTCCGCAGCCTCCCAAGACCTTGCGCCGGAGAATCAATTATTGGATCCGTATATCAATCTGATGGCCGAAGCGCGCGCGCGTCCCGTGCTCGTGGCCTCCCGCTGCGCTCACGCATTTTCTTCCCTCTTGTCCGCCACCCCGTCGTCCTCCCCTTCCTCGCCCTTGCCAATTCGTGCTTCTCGCCAGCGTGCACACACGCGAGTTATAGCGAGAGTTCACTCTCCGGCGAGTGCGCCGACGAGAAGAGCAACGCCATATACAGAGGGACCGGTTTTCGCTGCGCGCGGCTGCGTGTCCCGCGTACGCGAGCGTCCGCGTGACGTAGCGCGTAATGTTGATTTTTCGACGAGGGATCAACTCTCTAACCCTCTTCTTTCTCTTTTTCTCCGCAGGGCGCCGACGAGGATGACAGCGCTTCCGTTGCCTCGGTAAGTTCATCACCCACCGCAGATCGCGATTATTGCGCGCGCCAATCCGACGAGAGAGCGACGCTACATACGGGCGTAATTCTCCGGTCGGACGTGTACACCATCGGCTCCTGATAAATGCACGCCAGAGAGATCGTGGCCGGGGATCTTAATTAAAATTCGCCCGCTCTCTCGATCGGACCGGGCTCGCTCAATCTTGCGCGCGCTGCAGCTGATAGATCTCGAAGAGATTCCTCGCGCCATTAATCGCTAATAATCGCCGCGACCGATGTTTTTCCGAAGCAACTGGACGCAAAAGCGCGGGAGTGGCTGGTCAAAGCGGCGCAGGGGGACTATCAGGCACTGGCGAAGCTGGCAGCCGAGGAACCTCGTCTCACCAGGCTCAAGGTGAGTTTTTGATTCTGTCGTTTCGCTGTCTGTGCGCGCCGCGTGAAATTCAGACGCGGAGTCGTAAATCATTTCGCGCGCGTTCGCGCTCACGAGGGAGGCTAATCCGAGCCTGGATAACATTTTCGGGATATCTCGCATCGCGCGCTACACTTGTTAGTTACTCTGTTGTTTCTAAATTATCACGCTCGTGATTTCTCCAGGTGTAGACAAATGTAACGTTAACGTGTTTTACAATTGGAACTTTAGTACGGATAGACAGAAAGAAGATAAATGAGACAATTTCGGAACACGCGGTGTGTAAGAAATTGTATGATTGGTAGCGGGGGCCACGTTCGCGTTGCATGCTAAAATTTCCTAGATTTCGTGCGCCATTTATCTGGACTTTATCGCTCACGTACACACGCGCGCGGACCCGGTGCAATGGATCTCATTGAATTACGGCTACGCCACCTCGGGTGATAATGACAAAGGTAGCGGGCGGGAGGTTCGGAAATATAATTACGGTGTGGCTTACCGTATAGGCCTGGGGATCAGGCCGTTATTACACGCACGGCAGAACTTAACACCTGCGGCGTTGTAAATTCGCCGTTTTCGCGCGCCGCCATTGACAGGTCAATAAATCTAAGAGCCCCCGTGGCAATCAGGCGGCCGTTGTATACCGGGCTAGCGATATGTGGAGCGGATCAGAAGTGGCGGATGGTAGCAGGTTAAGGGCTATTCACACCACTTGTATCGATTATAAATTGTCGCTTGTCAAGTGTTCTCGACCAGGACTCGACAACACGAAGCTTCCTTCGTGTGATACAAACGCGTACGAGAGTTATTTCAATAAAACATAAAATATACACATTCACACAACATGTTCTGTGTGAGCGTTAATAGCAAATTACTTAACTTGAAATTTATAAATATTCTTTAAAAATTAGATTATTATTTGTAAAAGAAAAATTGATCGAAGAAGATTAATTGTTTTTAATATTTTACAATATTACAACACGCTGTTATATCTTATATCTATTATCACACACGTTTCTACCTGGACAATTTGTAGCAAGCTTAACGCGCGCGCACTATCGAATAGGCGAGAAAGAGGAAGAGAGCGGATGAGAAGGGGGGTGAAGTGATCCGAAGGTGGGGACGTTGCACGGTGGTTGGCGAAAGGGGTAGAGGCGGCTCGACCGCACGGGGGCTGCGTGCTGAATTCATTCCGCTGGACAAGGTTGCCCCACACCCACCACCGCCGAGCCACGTCGGCCTCATCCCTTGGGATAAATTGGCCGAACCCGCGTGTTTGCGGATAACATCGCCGCGATATACGTTTCGCCTATGGCCGCCCGCCGTATGCGAACCTAAACCGTCCGCGGTGCCCTTTTTGCGACGTGTCTCGAACTCCCGGAAATTGGCAACGAAAACTGTTGTTCGTTTTTCTGACTTTTTTCATTTGCACATATTCTCTACGAAGCACGTACGATAAACCAAGCGAACGAGCCAATTTACGATAGGTATTCGAAAAGCGTAAAGCAAAAAAAAACAAAAAAACAAAAACAGACTCGAGTCGGTAAATTTTATAGGGGGAAAAACTCACGGTTCGATTAGCATAAAGCAAATGTGTTCGCCATATTATCGCGTAAATTCACTATATCGTAGATACTGTTTGCGAGACCGATTGTTCCTGGTTGCAAGCCTTCGACATGTACGTATATATAATAATCTATCGCCGATGAATATGCAACAGTTTGTGCTGCAGAGGGCGTGAGGCGATAGGGTGCCGGAGAGCGGGTGAAGTAAACGACAGGGGGTGTCGATGTCGAGGGAGAGAGGGAAAGGGAGAGATCGTCAGTAGGCATGCCAATTACTCTCTCGGTAATTAAATCAACACCGGAGCTAATCAACGTTACCCCTGGCGTATATCTTCATCCCCCATAGATGCTTCGCCGGAATAAATAAATCCGACGATTATTCGATATTCAAATATAACGATATCACTCACAAGAAAATCTTATTAACGTAACGAATAATTAATAACACCAAGTATTTTTGTTTTCAACTAAAGTGTGTGAAGCAGCTATCGCATTAGACTGTTTTTACATCTTGTAATTCTTTCGTTATATGAAAGAATTGTCTGTGCATTTTTCTTTTTTTTTTTTTTTTATGTTTTTACAAGCCCGTATAAAGATAGACCCGTTCACACGCGGTTACGTGATTTGTAACCGAATGTCGTAGACGATCAGTGTATTCTGTGGGTCAGATGTAGGCATACGCCTCATCGGGGCGCTGCGTGCTCATTATATTTTATTAACGGACGCGTCTGGCATCGCGATAGATTCGCTTCCGTGAGTCGCGCGCGTTCCTTAGAAATGCACGACGGGTGCATCGGTTCGACATGCGGCTGTTCGATCGGTGCGCCGTTCGATCGAAAACCCCCATTACGTTTATTTCCACGAATCCGCTTCTTTGCTCCGACAGCTGCAACTGTCGCCGTGTGATCGCGCGCGTATAAAACTTTTTGTGTTCGCGCTATCTCAGTTTTATTTTTCTCTAAAGCAATTGTGTTTCGATAATTAGCAAAATTTATATCGATTTTTTGCTCAACACATATCTAGAAGATTAATATAAATTTTCAAATAAAATTAGAAGATTCATCCGCTGGATATTTGAAACGTTACGAGAGAATTATTAATAGCACGTTTGCGGAGGACAAAGCTAATAATTGAGTTCTGCGCCTGGCTCGCGAATAAAAGCTGTTAGCAGGGATCGCCGGTAACATTATATAGTGGCCGGTATTTGCGGGTTTGGCCTCCGTGTATTTATCTCGTGGTATCTCTCGGTTTAATAACGCCAGGCAATCAGGAGGTATACTCCGTCCGTCCGTTACGTGCATTCGTACGGGGCTTCTTCGTCGGCTCTCGCTCGCCACTCCATGCCGATAAATAATAACCATTTGTATCGGATTCTAATTACTCGCTCTAAGCAAACAAATAAACGGCGGGAGATGAGACGTGCCGTGAGGAGAGGAGGTGGGCTTAATGTTATGGTGGCTGCGGGCTGATTTAAGGAGTGTGGGACCGCCCACCTCGAAGATGTATCTTCGAGTCGAGTATCGGTCCACCTGTTATGAGTGTTTCAACGCCACTGTACGTCCTTCTTCTTTTTTTTTTCTTCTTGTCATTTTATTTTGTTTTCATCACTCGTCGTGTATACCCTCTCACGTCAGTCGAGAAAAATTTCAATGCCGCGCGCGTGCGCGCGCGCGAATCTGCTGTCGAGAACGTCAAGAACGATCGTCGATACGACAGCTCGGAAATCAACGGCGGTTGAGAAATAATTCGCGCACGCATCGCCGAGCAAAGTATCCCGTGCGAGTCCGTCCATTTGCAGCCGATAAATAACGAATATCGCCCTGAGGACTGCTCTTTAAGTGGCGCGTATCCCTTCGTCGGGGGGCAGGGTGGGCGAACGTGGGAAGGAATTCGCTTTCAGAGGCGACTTCCACGGAGCGATCCTTTCTCGCGATGACGTCCATGATCGATAAGAGGCAGCGCGAGAGGAGAAACGCGTTTTCGCTTAAAAGGTCCTCAAAAAAGGCCGACGGTAGTTCGTTACCGGTGGGCTATTAGCGGGCGTAACGCACGTCGTAGGAGCGTCGAAGGACTAAGTAAACCCGGACTAACAAGGAGGCGTATCCACCGGCCACGAATGATCTACCGATCCGAAGTTGGCATTATTCCGCTCTCTCACTCTTCACCCCCTTCGTCTCTCGCTGTCTCTTCTCCGTCCGACCCCTCGTCCCCTTTCTCTTTTTCCCTCCTGCGTATATATCCACGAGAGATCCTGCCTACCTATAGGCGAATATATCTACCTGCGCCTCCTACCTACGCCCCCGAATATTAACACTCTGATTTATGCGCGTAATTATCTCTAGTTATTTTCTTAGTATGGCCCCGGCGTATCCTCTCCGTAGCTTGTCTTCGTAGCTGCCGGTGCTGCTGATGCACAACAAATTAACCGTTCCTTCTTCCGCCTCCCTTTGCTCCCCGCGTTTCGCGATTCCTTCTCTTTTCCCCTTCCCCTCTCCCACCTCCCTCTTTCATCTCTCATTCTCACCGTACTCTCTCGGTATTTATAAGGATCTCGTTTAATTTTGTAATTGCATTCTTATTATTCGACGTAATTTTCCTCACAAACCGACGCGCTCGTCGTCGGTCAAAGCAGCTCGTTTGGAGGAGATGCAGGGAGAAAGCGGTTGCGCCGTCATCCGCAACGCGGATTCGACTCGCGGAGATCATTATTTATTCTCGCGGCGACTCACCAAACGACCTGTCCCGCCTCTCTATGGGTCGTGTGTGCTTTGAAGTGTAGAATGTACACGCCTGAGATATATTCCCGTTCGCTTGTTTAATGGTTACTATTAAATTTATCTCGCGTGTGTCAAAGATGGCTTTGAGATGATTAAGAATCATTAGACGATACTGAAACATTATACACCTCCGGCGAGAGATCTTCCGTCGTGAATACATTTCGGACTTATCAGATCGTAACATCAAAATGTTTTCTTTGTTGCATTAGCGTTACATTTAACGCGCGATTCGAATCAAAGTGAATTTACGATTTCGATAATTGAATCTTGTTTGAGAGAGAGAAAAAGAGAAAAAAAAGAAATGTATTAGAATCGCATTAAAATATTGCAGGACGCGTTAAGTCACAACCGCAAAAGTCTCTTCGCGCAGGTAAAAAGTCAAGCGGTAGCCCGCTCGAGATGTTTCAGCTGAGAATAGATTTTATGGGGGACGCAGTCGAGAGAGGTGTCGAGGATCAGGGCGCCAGGGCGTCGTCATCTCGATATGGGATCGTCTTGCGAACGTTAGTACCTTTTTTTACGAGTCTGCTTCTTTTCTCTCTCTCTCTTTCTTTCTGTTCTCCAGTCGCTCCCTTTTTGATTTACTGTGTGACTCCCCCTTTGAAGTTTCAATTTTCATCCCATTGTACAGATGAACTGA